ATTAATTAATTAAAAAAAAAAAGAAGTCATTGTCAGAAGTAGGTAGACTCCAGAATGCACAGTTAAGAACTTCTGAATGACAAATGAAGAGTGTCTAAATCAGAGAAATGTTGACAATTTAATTATGACCTGTCTGTGTTCCCTTTGGCAGCACATATAATTATGACCTGTTCATTTCTACAAGTCTGTTAATTTTAACCACTACATCATGTGTAGAATTACTTACTTACTTAGAGATGTGCTCACCTGGACTAATTTAAACATTTCATCTTGGAGCATCTGCCTAACAGAATCTGAAGAATCTGGTAATGGCGCTTGATGTTCATTTCTGTGCGTCTTCTGAGGTGCTGGAATGGGTGTTTGGGAAGCAACACTGACTCCATTTGATACCAGAGGAGGAACTGAGGGAGACTTATCTTTAGACGCAGAAATCTGTTCACTGTGTAGAAGCATTTAAATAAAAAACACATTCTAATTAACAACAACAAAAAAACAATTAGATGTCTATATACAAATATTTAGATCCCACTGTTTATTCAAAATTAAAGGTTACTCTAGCAGTTTCCAGAATCTCTCCTGCACACACTATTTGCCCCCTCAACGCCTTCTGGGGACATGTACTGTCCAGTCAGCAGTGGGCCCTTGCTTCAGTGTTACACTCCAGAGAAGCCCAGGTGTCTGAGTTTGAGACCAGCACAATCATTCTAACTTTATAGTCTTTATAGTTTGGCTCAGAAATAAGTTTTTGAAGAAAATTAATGATCCACAATACAGTTAAGAAAACTGAAGAAAAGTTGGTTTAAAAGCTGTTTAATTCTAGGATTGGTAGAGGAAAAACTGCTGATTGTCAATAAGTATCAGATAACAGTATTGTGGAGATTCATATCCAATTGACAACTTTCCATTTATAAAGAGCCCTAAAAATGGTTATTTAGAAATAAAAATTAAAATGAAGTAAGTTTTGGTTTTGTTTTTTAAACAAAATTATTGTTAGTGAGCAATTCCTTAAACACAGCAGGTGGTCAATGTTTTCTAAGCAAATAAATTTCGTAAACTAAGGGACCAGGCAATTATCATATATAAAGAAATTATTCATTGTTTCCAAAGAGAAAAGACTATATTAAATTGGACTTAGATTTATTTGAGTTTACAATAATTCCCTTTTAGCAATAATAATCTGCTTTCAATGAACATCCATTTTGCTCAATAACAAAACTCTATTTGGCAAATCCATGAAAAACAGGCATCACAATTGATGTGCTTCTTTTTTTTTTTTTGGTATCAAAGATCAAACTCAGGACCTTGTGCTTGTGAGGCAGGCATGGTGCCACTGAACTAAATCCTTGACCCCGATGTGCTTATTTTAAGAAAACTTTATTGGCCTTTGCTTTCAACAACTAGTAAGAAGGCCAATTCTAATAATATTAATTTTTTCTGAAGTAAATCTGTGCTGTATTTTCCTCCAACTTTAGCAAGATTTCTAAGGATTAAGCAATCTTTTCAAGCACTATTTAAAAAATTTAAAAAGAATATAAATCTAATTCTAAAGAGAATTACATGTTATTAAAAACCAAAAGCTGAAAATGAGCAACAATTACATCTTTCAAATATATACCCACTATTATTTTCTTGAAATAAACTGATCTAACATAGTTACTTTTTCTCTTTTTTTTTCTAACATAGTTTTTGTATGTTTTTAGACATACAGGAAAAGCAAAATGATGACAGTAGATCAACACATTATAAATTACATATGTTGTAAAACATAGAAAGTAATACAGGAAAATATTTGAATAACTAAAATGTCATAAATGTACACCTATACTGCTCTTCAAGTTGCTTTTGTTTTTTTCTTGGGTTTTAATCAAAATGTTTACCACTTATTTCACTTATTACAGCAAACATCAATTCATGCTCTTATTTATTTGTAAAACATGACTATTTCAAAACGGATAAAGTGAACAAAAATTCTTACCTAGAAATTTCTGAACTTGCATCTACACAAAATGAATGAGGAATGGTATGTTCAGAATTTACAAAGGCTTTGATCATACTATAAATAAGAATAAGTAAGTGATTAGGTAGCAATATATTCTTATATAATCTAAGGTACAGGTGATCTAATGCTTAGCCATCTAAGAATCTAAACATCCTCTTACTCTTTCTTAATGCTTAGCTCATAATCATAATCTGTTTACACCTGTCTCCATAGCAATCTGGAAACGATTCAAACAAAATCAAGTATGTCTGGATGACTTAATACATGATTAAGTACACTGCTGACTGCTCAGAAACAAGACATTAGAATCTAAAATGAAGGGACATGAGATTATTGGGATTCAAAATTTCTCCTATGGAATAAGTGGACATTTTGCTCAGAATACTAAAGAGCTCAATGTCACATTTGCAACAGTCAAGGCTAGTTTTCCTGGACAGAAATATCAGTATTACTTGTAAGGGCTCAGTGGTAAAGCATGAACAAAATCCTCGGTTTGATCCCCAGTGCCAAGAAACAAAACAAAAAACCCCCCACCAAAACCCAACAAATAAAAAAAACAAACAAAAAACACCACTTTTTGTGAATTACGTATTCATAGTAGAACTAAACAAATTTTGCATACCGAGAAGAAAAAGTAAATATAATTATGTTGCCTCTCTTATTCTTTTAGTCAAGGTAATTTTAAAATTCTAACACTTCTAAAACTCTAAAAATGAAGAAATCATGCCCAAACTGCAACATATGAAAATTGCCTTCAACTTTCTCTGAAGCAACAATAAGCCAAGCAGAACACTTGGCTCTAATGGAAAGAGCAGAGTAAACAAAGCCTAATAGTGAAAGATCATATGTAATTACTTTAACAGTTCTTTGATTCAACAAAAATGGAATTGGTATGGAAAGGTGGTTCCCTAATTAGCAGATGAATAAGCTCTAGTCCATTTATTATTATATTTTCTTTTGAAAGGCTGATAGTGATGAAAGAACAACAGGCATTTCAGTTATTATTTATTTCATTTCACCACACTTAAAAGTATAACATCTACCAAAAATCACTGTTTACTTAACTAGAGATTGAAGTTAAAATTTCACTAGAAACACGCCACCATAAAATATGTATTATAAATTATGAAAAAAAAGCTGTAAACTTCACTGAGGTAAAAAAGCTAGAGATAATCACTTCATACTTTTATCTCCTTACCCTTGCTGTTCAGATTTTTCCTCCATATTTGTCTCCAGTGGTTCTTCCCTTGGACACTGAACCTCTTCTCTCGAATACTATTACAATTAATAGTACCCAAAATGAAAAGAGGTGAAACAAATAGGTATTACTACTAAAATGGGTATTTTGAGTTTCACATTAGTCACTCACCTAGAGTAATAATAGTCTAAAAATAAGTGACAATTCAAACACTAAAACGTACTCCCAGTCCTTTATACTGTGTGAAGTGCCTTTGGCTCATTTCTCTGAGGTACTGAGCATGTAAAGGCACAAAGACAAGATGGTGTCAGTAGACTAACACATTATAAATTATATATATACAACGCCATGAATATTATTAACCTGTGAAAACAACTATAAAATTAGGAAAAACTAATTCTTTTTAAAAGAATTGTTACCATCCCTGGAAATGCCTATGTTCTGCATGGAATTTCAGTGTATAGAATTTTGAGAAAACAATACAAAAAGTGCATACAGGTACAAAAACTACCCAGGCATGGTGGTGCACAGCTGTAATTTCAGCACTTGGGAGGCTGAGGAAGAAGGATTACAAATTTTAGTCCCAGCTGGGCAACTCAGCAAGACCCTGTCAGAAAAGGCAAAGGCAAAGGAATAGTAAAAGAAACAGAAACAAAATGAAAAGAAAAGAAAGAAAAGGTTGGGGATGTAGCTCACTGTGAAGGCCTTGGGTTTAATCACCAGTACAAAAACAAAAACAAAAACAAAAAACCTGCAACCACACTGAATTATATATAAACAAAGGACATGTTTACCACTTTTGATTAAATTAATTTGCTAAAGCAGTTTATGAAATGAAAAATGTCACTTCTTAAAATTATTGGACATGTAACAGAATTTTAAAGAAAGAAAAATGCCACAAGGGTTGTCTGTATTTTATGATCCACGTAAATAGTCTTGCTTTGATGTGTAGCAGTGATGCATAAAAAAAACTGACTTTTTTTGAGACAGGGTCTAACTATGTAGTTCAGGCTGGCCTTGAACTACGTATTACAAGCTGGCCTTGAACGTGAGGCGATCTGCCTATCTCAACCTCTCAAATGTTGGGATTATAGTATAATTTGGGGAGGAGGGCAGAAATTCTCCCTTATACCCTGAAAGTTTCATTTCCGTATCTTTTTTTTGGTATGGGAATTGAACTCTAGACCTTCTCACTGAGCTACATCCCCAGCTCTTTTTTTATTTATTTTTAGAGAAGATGTTGCTATATTGCTAAATTGCCCAGGTTGGGTTTGACTTTCTGGTCCTCCTGCCTCATCCTCCCAGAATTCTGAGATTATACACTGTATCACCATCCCTAGCCAAAAGTTGAATAATTTTTTTTTGAGACAGAGTCTCACCATGCAGCCTAGGCTGACCTCGAACGCATGGCGATCCTCTTGCCTTTGTTGCCTGAGTGCTGGGATTACAGGTGTGTGACACCACACCTGGCTAAAAGTTGAATAATTTTATCCACTATTAACAACTTACTTTTTCTAATTGCTGTAGCAAAGTCTGCATGTAAATGGCAATATTGGGACTTCTGACAGGTTCTTCTGGAGGAAAACAAAAGATGAAGAGAAAACTGATGATCTGAAACATAGTATTTTGAATTTTTAAAAGGTTTATGGAATATTATAGGAAATGAATAAAATGACAGAAATGTTTTCTATCCCCCTCACAAAATAGGTTTTAGAAACACCTGGAAATCCCAGATGAGCCTTGAGAGGCCTTGTATCATTCTATGTAATTCCATGTAGAGCTCTGATACTTTCTGCTGTAAGGATGGCTACCAGGAGAGGTTCACAGAATCGGTTCACAGGAATTAAGAGACCCCAAATTTTTTCATAGGCAGGGAAAGAGACCCAAAACTGTAAAAGAATTACCAACGTAAAAAATGTCTTTGACTTCTTGGTTTTATTAAAAACCAAGCTATGGCCAGGGATTTAGTTCAGTGGTGCCGCCACCTGCCTTGGAAGCACAAGGTTCCGAGTTCAATCCCCAGTACCAAAAAAACCCAAAAACCAAGTTATGAGTTAATACATTAAATCATCATAGATACAACACTCTCAATTTTTAGTTCTATGCTATTACAGACATAATAACTTAGATATAAGGTTAAATAAGTTATTTCAGACAATGTCATTCAGCAATTTCAAATAAAGCTAGAGAAAAAAGATGATCTACATCAACTGACCTTCACAGTGTGATATGTGCGTATCCATTCCTTCCTGTGTAAACATTTCTACATGTAAAAGATTCCCATTGGTATTTATAACTTCTTTTTCAGTATTATCAGTGATGAAAATAACCTCATCATTGATTTCTTTCATTTCAGGATTTTCTACTTCATTTGACATTCTACTGACAAAAATACAGCAACTATAATTACAACTCATTCTTGAACACAAAGAGCTTGCTTTATTTGATTCCAATTTTTAGAAACAACAAATATAATATTCGTATTTAGGAAGTCTTTCTTTTTCTACATTTTTGCTTCACAGAAGTTCAATAAAAGGTCATTCATTGAATGAACATCCTAGTTTTGAAGACTAGATTAATTTCAGTTTAACTAAAATTACCATTCTCACAAAGGAAATTTCACATTGAAGGGCTTTTGCCTTGGTTTATTTGCTTTAATGTGTATGCTGAATGTCCCAAAGCTTCATGTATTAAAGACTTCATCCATAGGGCAGTGCTACTGGGATGGGTAGAGCCTTTGAGAACTGGGCCTTGTGAGAAAGAGGTCCTTACATTGCTGAGGGGATCCCGACCCGTTCCTCTTTTGTTTTGTTTGGAGATGAGTGGTTTTATTCCATGGTGCACTGCTGTCATGAAGTGCTGCCTCACCACAAGCCCAAAGCAATGAGGTCAACAAGTTGCTAAGTTATGGAGTTGGAACTTCCAAAAATGTAGGTCAAAAAACCTTTTTTGAATAAGTTGGTTGTTGCATTATAGTGACAGAAAGCTGACTAACATAGTATTCAGAGATATATTATTCCTACTACTGCTTCATATATAAAAATGGATGAAAAGACACAGGAAATAATATAATAAAGTGATCTCTCAGGATAAATTAGCTCTTGTCTCAGAAGACACAAGCTAGACCAACAGAAGTGTAACTTACAATGAATTATTAAAGAACTTCAGAAATCTCACTTCCTAGCTGGGGGTACAGCTAGAAGTAGAGTGCTTGCACAGTATCTGCAAGGCCTAAGGTTTAATCCCCAGTACAAGCACAAAAAGAAAGCTTACTTCCTGTCCCTCTAGTTCAAAGAAATTCCTATTCCTTTAATTTCCAAGGCTTTACTTCTTCACATTAATCCAAACACTAATAAACTTCTATTGAAAAGGAAGGTATAAGCAAAAACTCACTTGAAGATACTTTGACTAAATTCATTCCAGTTATTATTTTCCTCAGTTTCACCTTGAGTTGCTCCTGCAACTGAACAGCCAGCATCAGTACTGCTGTCCCTCTGGATACTGGGTTTCATCTGAGACACAGCATACTGATTCTCTAGCACCTACGAACCATTTATACCATTTTATATTCATTAATGAACAACTTTTTTTTACATTTTTAAATTATTCAAAATTTCTGTAAACTTCTAATTCTCTTATTTATTTATCAAGTATTTACAGCCCTTATACAACTCAAATTCTGTTGCTGAAGCAATGATCAAGTCTTTATTCTACCTAGAAAAAGCAAATCTGGCTTCTTAGTATACAAAAGAAATCATCCTTCGAAGTTTTAAGGTATATCATTGTTCAGGCCACACAAAAATGACAATAAAAAGTGTTCTCATTTAACTTTGTCTTTGTTACTATACAGACATTTACTAGTTATTTCAAAATGACACAATGGACAAAAATATATGCAGCTAAAACATAAAGGATGGATTCCTTTTGTCTCACATAGAAGTTTATGGATGTATTACCTAGAAATACAAATTTCAGACAACAAATATCATAGTATCACATAAACTGTATACTGAAGATAACAGAACTGATTACAAAAAAGGGAAAAAAACCACATAAAACCAAAAATATTAAACAATTCACAATACATATACTCTTATACCCTTCAACGCAGAATAAACTAACCTAAGGTACTTGCTATTGACTACAGAAGAGAAAGACTAGCTAATCAGAATTACTCCTCTACTAACACACACCTGCTTTTCTAGGTTAGGTTTTCCAACCTTTTTGGGGACTTGAGCTCTTCCTGGCTTTTCTCCCACAGTGCTGGAATTACAGGCATGTTCTACCACACCCACCCAGTTCCCTTTTAATTCTTTTATAAACACTTATAAAACCTCCAAATAGGGCCGGGGATTTAGCTCAGTGGTTCCACTGCCTGCTTTGCAAATGCAAGGTCCCATGTTTGATCCCTGGTACCAAAAAATAAATAAATAAATAAAATAAAATAAAACCTCCAAACTTCGTGGCCTCTCTGAAAGCACTTTCACTTTATTTTTTTTAATTAAAGGAACCCCTTGAAGAAAAAAAAATACATTAGGTATACAGGGTATAATCAGTATTATATAATATTCCATTACTTAGTGATTCTTTATAGGTGGTAAAATGTAGTTTTAATCTAAAAATGACATTTCTCATTTGTAATAGATAATTGATGTACTTACCTTAATAATGGCATTTTTTGCCCTATATGTAGCAAAATAAGGTTGTTCCAAAAGCCACAAAGAGGTAAGAATGGCAACTGTAGAGGTCTTTACACGAATTACGGGACTGTACTCAGAGGATGACTGAGTGACCCCAGAATCACAGAGGAGTCTTCGATCAGACCACCTTATCATCCATTCCAGCAGTCTTCCTACATTGCTGTATGTGCTCTTCAGCACCAGAGGAAGATCCACCAGAGGGTTACTATCATTGTAATGAATTGCTTTATAACTGTATTTTCTAGTTTTAATGGACTTGGGAGTCCAAAATTTACGGTCTGATGATTCCTGGATTAGAGACTTCTCTTGATTACCATCTTGAGTTCTGCAAATTGACTTTTGTTTTAAACCAAATAATCCTCCTTTTTCTTTACTTTTATTGACTTCATTTGATGGATTCTCTAAAACTGGTCTCATCCCTTGGTTAACTAGTTCCGAAGCCAAAAATGCCTGGTTGTCTAAACTTACGGAGTATTTGTCATTTAAAGCAGATGATTTTTCAGACTCATATGACTCAGAAACAGCAACAAAGCAGGAGCCAGCTTTAAACACATTCTGGCTTTTTCCCTGGCGTCGTTTTAATGTTGTCTGCACATTAAAAACTAAAGAATTAAGTTCATGTTCTCTAAGCTGTCCAGAAAAGCTGGTTAGAAATGGAATGCCAGGATCTTTGGAACTAAGTAGGTCTCTTTCAAGAACGTAACTCAGAAAGAGATCAAGGAATTTAATATATTCATCATCGTCTCGCTCAAATTCCCAAACACCTATTACAGGAAGTATATTTTTTGATAACTTTTCGTGATCTTCTTTCCTTTCAGGGTTTTCTTTCTGAGCACAAATTTTCTTTTTATCACTGGGCTTATCAACTAATGATAATTCTGAATGACTTGGGGTATTCCTGGAGCAAAAAAAGAGACAAAATGAATGATCATCTAATTTCTAAATCTGATATTAGAATTAACATTAAAAATTCATGCCAGGTGTGGTGGCGCACACCTGTAATCCCATGCAGCACTAGGAAGGCTGGGGCAGGAGGACTGCTGTGAGTCTGAGGCCAGCCTGGGATACACAGTGAGTTCCAGGCCAGCCTGAACTATATAGTGAGACCCTGCCTCAACTGCCCCACCCCCAAATTCTCTCCACTGCTGGGCATGGTATTACACACTTGTAATCCAAGCAACTGGCATTACACTTAAGGCGTGAGAGGTTCACGTGTTTGAGCCCCATACTGGATAACTTAAGTGAGTTAGTGAGACCCTGTCTGAAAAATTAAAAAAGGGCTTCTGGGGATACTGTAGAAAGGACAAAGGCCCTGGGTTCAATCCCTAGCACTGTTTAAAAGAAAATTCTCTACTCATTAAATCATGCATCTTTTCAGTCTTTAATTACCTATTACTCAAATGGGGGGGGTGTAAACCAAAGTTAGTATCTAAGGTAAAAAATATAACACATTAATATCAAATAAAATTTGTTAGAAGACATTAAAAGGTGTTTATAGAAATTTCACTATAAAAGAAAAGGAATTTTGAGGAGGGTAAAAAACAGTCCTCCAATATATTACAATTTAGGGATACAAAGTCAATAAAAAGTCACAAGGTACCAATAAACATCTTAATTTAGGGTTTCTTGGGGCTGCCCCTTCTAGTGCCCTTACATCATGTGCAACAAGTAGGACTGCCATTTTTTTTGTTTTACCACACAAATGTTGGGAGCTTTTTCTAAACATCTTCAGCTGCTATGAAACTTGTCAGGCAGGCACCTAATTGTCAACCATGGTTTCAAATGTTACCTCTTTTTTCAATTTTTTATTTTTTATTTTATTAGTACATGTTTGCAGTTCATGCAGTTAACAATCATCTCAGGGAATACAATGTTGAGTAAAATAGCACAAGCTTAAATACTGTATGGTATCTCTCATTTTAGTAAGGTAAAGTACAAAGAAAATAATAGAGGATCAAATATTTCTTTTAGTGAGGTTTTTAGGTGGGTCTAAAGGTGTAGCTCAGTTGTAGAGTGCCAGCCTAGCACACAAGGCCCTGGGTTCAACTCCCAGCACTAACACAAAAAAAACCAAAAGCACAAAACAAAATAAGGTCAACATATTCCCTAAAGTGAAAGAGATCCTCAGATGTCTTAATGAGAGAAAAGGTGATGGGCATTGAGGATGCACGGTAAGCAGCCTGCAGGGCACTCCTATGCTAACATTTAAGCACAGCTGTATTGGTAACAAGCACACCATTTAAAAAAGCAGATGTTTGGAATAGATGTGATCATTTCAGTTACACAAAATTACTGCTGATTATATAGTCTTTAAATCATGAGGACAAACTGCATTGCAGTTACTGAAATTCTAAGAAGAAAATCAGCTTAAATCACAGTGATATGGGTTTAGACAATAAGCAAGAATTTCCCAACAAATTACAGACACATTTCAAAGATGAATGTGTAAGTTCCCACCCTAAAAACCCTTAAAAATGATATGGCTATAACCCAATTGCACCAAACTACAGGTTGAGTATCTGAAGTGCACAAGACCAGAGTGTTTTGCATTTTGTGGGTTTTCTTCTTTTTAAAAAAATTCTGGAATACTTGCACATTTATAATGAGAGATTTAAGGGATGGGGCCCAAGTCTAAACTGAAATTCACTTGTGTTTGGGGGCTGGGGGTATTGCTCAGTGGCAGAGCTCTTGCCTAGCACATGCAACATCCTAGGTTTGTATCCCAGCAACACAAAAAAGGAGAAGGAAAAGAAAAAAAAAAGGAAGCTCACGTATGTTTCATAGTAATTCTATACAGTATTTTTAGTGCACCTGCACATCTCACGCTATCCCTGTGAGTAGGGAGGTTAGTACTTATCTTTTATATTGTTAGTAGTACAATTCCCAAGGGTTGCTGGGACCAGAAATCACTCATCATTTGCATCAAAACAGTGAAAGCATTTTCTTCTAAACAAAGTCAATGCTTATTATGAGAGCTCGACTATACCTTTGGTAGAAAGGTAGCCTGTTTCTTTCTTCAACTGACAAAGCTTCAGAGAAGGTATCCACATCACTATGCACCAGAGAACTGCCCAGTTCTGTGAGAGTGCTTCTGCTCAAGCTAGTCCCCAGGGAAAACCTGTCGAAACCTGGAATCTCATCTGGTTTCTCTTCTTCAACTGGTTCCCAAATATTCACCTCAAAAGAACCTATATTTCTCTGCACACGTTTTAGGGCTTTCACCCTCACTTTATGGATAGAATGCATGACAACAGACATCATTTCCTCAGTCTGGGGACCTGGAAAGCAGGGAACAAAAGGCCTGTGGTTCATTAAAATGTTTCAACTCAAGACTTAAGGGAACCCATTCTGGTTCCTTCTGGGGACATGAAACCTAACAACCAAGGCTTATTTACAAATTGTTACAGATTACATTTTACTCAGTACTCACTGGAACACATGTGAGAGGCCCTGGGTTCAATCTCCAAAACCAAAACCAAAACCAAAACCAAAATTAAAGCCACAACATTGTGAATGTACATAACGTCACCAAATTATACACTTCAAAATGGTTTACACTGAAGCTGGGTGAGACTGGCACACACCTATAATCCCTGCTGCTCCAGAGGCTGAAGCAGTAGGATGGAGAGTTCAAGGTACACAGAGAGTCTCAAACAAACAAAAAGGTTAAAATTAGCCTGGGGATGTAACTCACTGGTAGAGTGCTTGCCTAGCACACACAGGGCACTGGTGTGGATCCTTAGCTCAGGGAGAAAAAAAAAACCAATCCACAAGGTCATCCTGAATGTATACAATGATATTAGAAGTTTAAATAACCAGAAGTATAGAGAAGGAACACTATAAATATCTTCAATAGGCAAAGAACTATGTGACTTCTCTCTCTCTCTCTCTCTCTCTCTCTCTCAGTATCTATCTCTTTAGAGATAGAATCTGACTAGACTGGAACTCATAGGCTCAAGCAATCTTCCTGATTCAGCTTCCCCAGTAGATGGGACTCTACAAGCTTGTGTCACCATAGCCAGCTTATGTGCTCATTTTATATGCCTTGTTTAATCCTCTCTCAGTACATACTCATAAAGTAGGTAATTATATATCCATTTTACAAATAAGGAAATGAGGTTCAGAGAGACTGAGCAATTCATTTAAGGTCACAGTTACTGATTAACAGAAACATGACCTAAAGTCAGCTCCATCTGACTCCAAAGCCACAGAATTAGTTCTGCAGTGGGGTAGAGTGTTGACCTTCTCACACTCTTGTCTCTAGGGAAAAGCAAAAATGCATAGATATACGAATGGCAGAAAATAAATACTTTCAGTGCCACCACCTGCCTTGCAAGCGCAAGGTCCGGAGTTCGATCCCCAGTACCAAAAGAAAAAAAAAGAAAATAAATACTTTCAAAACAAGAAGAGCATCTTTGGCAATTTATCTGCTAGATACCTAAGAAATAATAAATACCTTTCACAACGCAGTGTCTGAGTCTCTGCTGAAGAGAGCGGTATTTTTCTCTTAAAGGAACTCTTATATCCTCTGGATTGGGAAACGCTTTCACAAAAATTTCCGCTACCTTCAGAAAAAGTTTTTAAAAGTTTTATGAGCAACATCATTTCCCTGCTTTTCATTCCTGAAATATTTTAACTCAAAATACAAAAGCATATTTAGTACTAATCTTTTGATGTTGGACCAAAACCTCTTTAAGAATGATCCTGTGGACTGAAGTTAGCATCAACATTTTTTTCTCTTTTTAAAAAATTTAAATTTTTTTTTTTTTTTTGGTACCGGGGATCAAACTCAGGACCTTGTGCTTGTGAGGCAGGTGGTGGAATCACTGAGCTAAATCCCCGGCGCCAAATTTTAAAATGTTTAGTTGACAAAAACTGTACATATTCACGGGTACAAGGTGATGGTTTGATAAACATACACATTGTGTGACTACTACAGCCAAATATACTAACACATTCATCACTATAGTTACCATCATGTGTGGGGAGGGGCGAGGACACTTCAAATCTCCCCCTTATAAAATTTCAGGTACAAAATACAGTAGTATTAACTACAGTCACAATATTATACATGAGATGCCCCGAACTCATTTACCTTATAAATGAAAATCTGAACTTTTTAACCAACATTTCCCCATTTCTGCCACACTGTATCTGTGAGGACATTATGCCAAGTGAAAAAAAGCCAAACACAGAAAAGCCAGGTAATTCTTTTTTTGTTTTGTTTTGTTTTTTGTTTTTTTGGTACCAGGGATCGAACTCAGGTCCTTGCACTTGTGCAGCAGGTGGCAAAACCACTGAGCTAAATCCTCGGCCAAGCCAGGTAATTCTTGATTTTAAAAAGTAAAAATCCTTTAGAAGTCTCTGATTCAGTTTTAGTTTATTTCCACCCACAATCACATTACCTTTCTGACTGGTGGCAGTTCTCCAATAAGGCTCAAGATTATATCCTGAATAAGTTCTTCAGTATTAAAAAAACGAGAGAAAGGTAGCATTCGATAAGCCCATTCCACTGCACCAAGACAGTGCTCAACCACGCAAGAATCGAACTCCACTTCAAGGTCCTAAATGGATATTGAAAAGATTCATTGCCTTTTCAGTTTAGATGGATAAATCAGAATGAGCTCAAAAGAAAATCATGCCACAAAGAGTAAAATTTTCTATTAAGTGATAATTTCCCAAGTAATGTTTGTTCCTTTCTCTTATTCTTGTGTTGGTAAATACCTTTTCTCCTCTCATATTTTCTCTCGCTTTCTGATACTGCCTGCAACTGTAGGATAAATTATCACGGATATGCAGCACCCAGCACAAGGCACAGAGTTCTCTGAAGCAGCCTAAAAAGGGATATAAATATGAAAGAAAAAAGTGTGTGTATATTAAAATTAGAACTCAACCTCTGCTGTTTTTCAGAAAAAATGTTTTGTTGATTATAAAAGAAACATATGCTCATGAACACCTTATATAAAAGTCAGAGTTCCTTCCAAAATTTTAATTCACATTATTCTATAATATTTCATGCATATCAGTTGGAGGAATGTAATGAAATCATATTTACAAAGTAAGTAACTTGTTCTATTTACTATCAGTTTATGTGTTTCATAACTTCATAGTATATTATAGATATTTCTCAAGGCCAATACACATAACTCTATATTTCATAATTAATTTGGAAAGTTATCTTTTTTTTTTCCTTTTTTGCAATGCTGGGAATCTAACCCAATGCCTCACAAATACCAACCAAGTGCTATACCACTGAGATATAACCGCAGCCCTGGCCCTGAAAATCTGATATGCATTTATATTGAAAGTTTTAAATATTAAAGATTATTGCTAATATTCACTACAAAAAGCAGTGCATGGGCCAGGGGTGTGGCTCAATGGTAGAGCCTATGCATGGCATGCAGGAAGCCCTGAGTTCCATCCCCAGCACCAAGAAAAATAAAACAGAAAAGCAGTACAAGTACACAAAGATATATAAAAATCATACTGTGTATACTGCTTTACAATTAGCTCTTTTTAAACCTAATGCATCTTGGACATCTTTGATGGTGGTAAAATATTGTTTTTATTGCCAATAGGGTATCTCATTGAATTGAGCATCATCATTTATACACAACCAACTAGTAAAACAAATTTCAACTCTTTTAATCTCAAATTTAATTTTGCTTATTTTAACTAAGTGTGGCCAGTAAAGGAAAACTCATCTCCTCTACTGTGGTTAAAATGGGCTGCGAATACTGCTCAGTGTTGCAGCACCTGGCTGGCAAGCGTGAGGCTCTGGGTTCAATTCCTGACACTAAAAAAGAAAAAAGTTAAAAAAAAAAAGTTAATCCCTTAAAATATAGTAAACAGTAATTGTTCATTTAAGCCTTAGTTTTTTTTCTTTGGTACTGGGGTCTGAACTCAAGACCTTGTGCTTGTAAGGCAGGTGCTGGAACCCCTGAGGTACAACCGCAGCCTGTAAGCCTTAAGTTTTAAAAACAAGACTTTTTTTTTTTTTTGGTATGGGGGATCGAACTCGGGTCCTTGCACTTGCACAGCAGGTGGTGAAGCCACTGAGCTAAATCCTTGGCCCAACAAGAGTTATTTTGATAATGAACTGACTTTAATATTAGTGGTTAGTATTTCATTTTCTTTAGAAAGTTACTTAATATATTGTTAAAAAGCTATTACACAACTAGATAGTACTGCTCAACAATATGGAAGCAGAGTATATTGAATAAGTCTTTCACAAATCTTATCCAGCCAAAAGGGAAAACAGTGGGTAAGTCTCCCAGGGAGACTAACAGGTCCACACGTGGGCATTTTCGCACACTCCCGCACCACACACTATATTCTGATACGTTCTACCAGGGAAGTAAAGCTCAGTATTTTAAGAAAGGCAATGTAACTGACAGATGTGTTCATTGTTTCCTATTTCACAGACATGCTGGGATAGAATGAAGCCCAAGAGTCAGCATGAACAGGTGCAACAATATACTGGGCAGCAATTTATCTAAAAGCATTCCTTACTGTGTTTTTCCAACTATGGATTACAATTTGTTACAAATGATTAGACTATAAAATCAAATCAGTGGGTCTTAGCCATTTTAAAAATGTAGAATATAAAAGAAAATAGCAAGAGTGCATTATACATAATAAGAGAATAGTTCATTTAATTTTCATTCCAGATTTATACAGGTTTATGTACTGTCCTTGTGTAAAATCTGTATCTTATTACAAGTCATGGTCATAAAAATTGAATACCAAGAAGGTATAATCAATGGACATCAGAATCACAGGGATTCTACTATATAAATGATCTCATTTCCTCAATAAATAAATGATATGAAAAAAGTGGGGATGCTGGGTGTGGTGGTGCATGCTTGTAATCCTAGCACTTGGGAGGCTGAGGCAGGAAGACTGCTGCAAGTTTGAGGCCAGCCTGAACTACATATATGTAACATTAGTGCTAAGGGTGAAGCAGTTAAAACTGAATATTTTGATCAAAGTCTGGAGATAAGATCAGGGGTTAATTTTAGAATGATAAGAATTAAGGATTAAGGAGAAAGGAGTGGAATGAGATCGAAAGTTTTATTCCTTTTTAAATTTGTTATGCAGATAACAGACACTGCAAATAGGAAATTATACAAGGAGATACAGATGGAGAACAAATGCTAACTAGTCACAGAAATCTTAACACAAGGGAATCCAAGGGAATTATAAAGCTTGGGATGCTACACAAAGGTACAAAATAGCCATATCCAAGCTGGGCGTGGTCACACATACACACACACACACACACACACACACACACACACACACACACACACACACACACACACACACACACACACACCCCTGCCCTGCCGCTGCATTCTGGAGGTTGAGATAGAAGGATCCTAAATTTGAACCCAGCCTGGGCAATTTAACAAGCCCTTGTCTCAACAAAACCGCACACTCTAGCTGGAAGAAAATGATCACAACAAAGGTATTCTTTTTTTTTTTTTTGTACCGGGGATCAAACTCAGGACCTTGCGCTTGCAAGGCAGGCGGTGGACCCACTGAGCTAAATCCCTCCTCCACAACAAAGGTATTCTTGAGTGCTAAAATTCCAAATTTAAGTAGCAAATCAATGACAATAAGGGTCATAATTGCACAATTTTTTGTAATAAATTCCTAGTTTAATACCATACATACAATGCATGTATATATACATGGCTGTTAAATATTGTACTTACTCATAAAAACAAAGAAAATACTGTCAGGACATACTATACTTCAAAGAGTCAAAAGTTTAGAAACTTTCCCAAATCAAATAAAAAATTACATCATTATTCATATTGAGGCTAATTTCTAAGCATGTAATTCATTTTTGACAAACCTATTGCTCTAATGGAAACGTCATCGAGTTTGTGGTCTCCAGCTGCTCCATGTCTAAAGAACACTATGCCTCCTTTGCAGTAATTAAATAAGGACTCAGGGAAAGGACTCAGGGAAGGGAGGGAGCCTTTCATTCGAATCTGAAATGAAAGAAATAGAGAATATATTAACTATCAGAAGTATAAATAAATTTCTAAAGGAAACTATAAAAGAGCAAGGCAGTTAAGATAACCATACAGAATAGAAACCATAGCACAGTTCCTCTACTATCCTACAAAAATAGCCCTGAAGTCAGCTGTACTTTCAGAAAGTTAGCTCACAAATATAATTTTAAAAATTCACCAGATTTCATCTCAAAAGAGAAAAATAGTTCTAAATTAAATTATTTATAGTTTTGTCACTCAGTTTTGTCTGTATAAAAAGAATTTAATGCTATTCATTCCTGGCTTTCTTCACAGTCATGACAAAGAAAATAAAGAAATATAAGTACCTAAATCTTAACCAAAATAAACTATGCACCACCTAAAAACAAATACAAAAACTGATCTATGTATATAACGAACAAAAACTAATCTACAAATGACAGAAGTAGAAAGTCATCATTTGGCAACTCCTAAAAAATAATGTCTTTAGGCCAGGATCATCCCTCCATACTAAATTAAATAAATATTTGGTGCTAGGGAACTGGATACAGGATGTGACATAACCCAACCTCCCTGATCAATCTCACCATCACTGAAAGTGAAATGAATAGACATGACTGCCACATACATGGTAGAACAGGACACAGAAAATGTCTGAGAAAGCCTGAGCCTGAATGTAATCAAATCTCTTTACCTCAATGAGTGCAGATCAATTAGCAGTTTACAGGAAAATAAAAGGAAAGAACAAATTAAATGACACTAATTGAAGAAATGATCAAACAAGTCTAGAATATGGTATAGGACAAATTTCCCAGTTTATATAACAAATCTAGAATTTTTTAAAAAAGAGGTTGTTACAGATGAAAGAAAAGGAAATTTAACAGACATAAACAGCAGGTTTAGCAGCAGGTTTGTAATCTACTTTCCCTTCTACTAGGCACTTCTAGAAGTGTCTACACTGTCTACAGACTGACAGACAGGATGGGATCAACGGAAGAGACTCAGCTCAAAGTCCTTATCAGTAGAAAGCACCCCCCACCTCTAGGTTGCCTATGGTAAATTAGCATGAAATTCATGGACTCCTTGGAAAAGTGTTACTAAAGTATAAATAGTGGTATATTTCAGTTATTTAACACAGCACATGAATGATTAGGACATCTACATACCTTCTGCATGACTTTTCTTGCCCACCTCAGCTGCAAGATGTACCACTGTGCTACAGGAAAAGAACACCGAGCTGCCCGGAAAAGCAAGAGAATACGCTGAAGAATTCTAGACACCTTTTGACGATTATCTTTTTCAGCTTTTAAAAGAAAGTCACCATCATCTTCCTGAAGACAAGAAGACAGTCAATTTTAGTGACAATAAGGAAATTTGAAATGTTAAAATGAAAATAAAGATAGGATAATGATATCAGTGCTTCTCAAACAGAATGTTCTTGGAGACAGGAAAATTTTGAGTAACAGGCTCTGAGATTTCAGCTGAGGCTATTTCTGGTGCTGAAGAAATAATTCTTTCCCCTCACACAGTGCACAGGGCTCAGAGGACCCCAAGTCTTCCCCTAGCTCAGGGTAAGCCCACACTATTCTAGACTCCTAGGAGACTGTCACGGGAGAGCTCATTCCAAGGAGAAGGCTCTTTCACTGCCTCTGCATGGAAAAAATCTCTGTATTTCAGTGTTTCCTCCTTGTGGAGCCCACCCTCCTCATCAGTGCTGACAGGACTTTGCTCATGCTTTCATCAGAGTATTTACCAATTTATTCTGTACTGATTTATGTATCTGTTTCCCAAAGAAATGAAAACTCAAAGAACATGTCATTGGTTTTTGTCTTATCACAGCGCACAGAATAAGGTCCAACAAGTAGCAAGACCCACTATATGTTTGTTGATAAATACTATTCAAACCAGTGAAGATTATTTTTGCAGAGAATGAGAGAACATGTTACAAATATTTGCTTTTCTAACATCCTTCTTCTGTTTCCCTTTATTAACAGTTCTCAACTTTTTCTGGGCTATCTGGCCCTCTCCTGCGTGGCCGATATAACTCAGAAAGCTGATCCATATCCCAGCTTCAGCAAGGGTTTTAACTGAGTGCCAGGTAGTACTTTGCATCAAGCCAGGTGCCTCACTGAAGGACACTCGCACGATCTAAGCCTGTCACAGTGAACTCAGTACTCTTGTACGGGATGCAGAGAGAGAAGCAATTTTGCTGTTTTTCCTTCTCTCATCCCTCTCCCTGTGCACATGGAAGGGGTTCCCTTAGAAGCTGCTGGCAGTGTCCTGTTCACACAAAGAGCTGAGTCCTTAGAGAAAGAAATAGTCCAAGTCTTTGCTATATAACTGAGTAAGAATCCTGTTTCTCCACTGGACTCGACAATGTGAGCCAGTAAAGCCTTCACTGTTTAAACCATTGTGACCAAGTTTTCTATCATTTGCACCACAAAGGATTCTAATTGACAAAGAGTGACAATTAGGAGAAATCCTACCACTGGGGATTACTATAATAAAAACAAATACAATAGTAATCAGTCAAACTAATATCAGTATAAGATATCCAAAAATACCTTACATGTGGTTTCTACTTTCTAAATCAATATACTGAAGACTCCCATGTAAGGGGAAAGATGAATTACTTAGAAGTGCCATAAACTATTTACCCCTTCTATTTGTAATATAGTACATCTGTAATATCAATGAGTGAAATATTTTTAATGCAGTGAATTGTAACTCTAAATATAACAACTGAAGTACAGAAAAAACTTGATGAAGATAGATAGCAGTAATACTGAAACTGAAAGTAGTAAGGAAACAATTCCAGAACTGCTTTAAAATATTACATATTTCAGAAATCTAAATATAAATACGAAACAATTCAAATATTAAAACCACCTAACTATAAGGTTAACTGCTTGGGGTTTGGGGTTTTATTTTATTTGCAATACTGGGGATTGAATCCAGGGGCATTCTACCACTGAGTTCCATTACTACCCTTTCTATTTATTTTATTTTATTTTGAGACAAGGAGTTGCCAAATTGCCCAGGCTGGCCTGGAACTTGAAATTATCCTGCCTCAGCCTGGATTAACAGTTTTTAATAATGGCAGAGGAAAAGCTCCTGAGAGGAATATAGTATCACTATTTATAAGTCAGAACTATCAACTGAATAGTGCAAAAGACAAAAATGTAAAACAGAAAAACCAAATTATAACAAAAACAAGTCCTTCAAGACAGGCAAAGGCCAAAAAAACAAAAAAATGAAGGCAACCAGGTGACTCAAACAAGTCAAACAATAGATAGCTTCTAATTCTCTGATTATATCACTAACTACCCTAAAAAGCCTATTTTTAAAAAGTCGATATTGAGAAATTTCTCATGATTTTTCTTTATTATTACAGTAATTTTAACATTTATTAAATACTCATGTGTCCCAGGTCCTGAGCTAAAAGTTCTCAAAGGATTATATCATTTAACCCTCACACAATGCTATTATCACCTGCATTTTACAGATAAGAAAATGTAAACAACAGTTCAGTAAATTACCCAAGACCAAGCAGTTAGTAAACAGCCAAGCTGGGATCCAGAAGTTTGTCTTCCGAGCTTGTTTTTAATGTGATAATTATTATCAAATTGGTTCTTTCTAAAATTAGACAAAACAAACTTTAATTAATTAAAACAATAATGCACTAAGCTTACTTCACTAAGAATAGCTGGCTGGGGACAGTACAATGGAGGAGCTGGAAGATACAAGCGGATGGGCACCAAGCCCCACAGTCTCTTACTGAAGTCCTTAGCAGAGTCCATTAGACGCTGAAGTGTCTCTGAGACAATATCTGCATCAGCCATAGCTGATGCTTTCAGGACATCCTGCACAGAACTAAACAGCAGATTTGCATCTTCTTCTTCAATAGGATCTGTCAAACACAAAATTTAGTAAAACAGTTAAAATTTACATTAAATTTCTTATCCTATTTTGTAAATCTGACAAAAGTAAACTGTCAAGAATAAACACGCAGGGCATGGTGGCACATGCTTGTAATCCCAGTAGTTAGGAGGTTGAGGCTGGAGGACTGCCATGAGTTTGAGGCCAGCTTGGGCTACATAGTGAGTTCAAGGCCAGCATGAACTACATAGCAAGACCCTATCTCAAAAAAAAAAAAAAAAAAAAAAAAAAGAACATATTGGTCAACATGCAAAACATCCAAGCTTATGAACAAAAATTTATGACTTATCTTGTTATTTTAAGATTAAAAAATCAGAGCATGAAGATTTTTCCAGCATTATCAAGATATTATAGTAATAATCACACAATAAAAATATTCATGTAGTGTACTCCTGAGTCAAAAAAAGTAGTATAATTGGAAAAATGTCAAGACAGACATCAGACTAATACGTGAGGGCCGAGGATTTAGCTCAGTGGTTTCGCCGCCTGCTGCACAAGCACAAGGACCTGAGTTCGATCCCTGGTACCCAAAAAAAAAAAAAGAATAATATGTGATATTATGCAAAGGCAGGGAGAGAGTACTTTTACTTCTTTTCTAAGTTTATGATAAAACTTAAAATTTAATAAAAATGACTTACAAAGTTAAGAAAACCAAAAAATACGTAGTAGGCATATGTACAGTATGGCTTCAACTATGAAAATATCTGTATGTACGAGGGTTGGTCTCAGAAGGAAAAGTACAAGGAGATACAGTGAGTAGGACTGGGCACTAGGGTTTTTTCCTATTATGAAATATTTTCAGCAAGTATACAATAGGACAAATATGTTCGATATCAACATTTTGTTATTCAATTTATTTTTTAAATAAAATATTATATAAATAGCTGAACTTCCTTGAATACCAATCATATTCTATTCTCCTCTCATCCCCAGAGGTAGCCACTATCCAGAATTTAGTATAAGTAGACTGGAATTCCTATTAGATATACATTGTGTCTTTCTGGTCTGTATACCACAAAGTGTAATTTCCATTTTCTATTTTTCAAATCTTGCTCTCTCTATATATTTTGTATATACTTATCTATGTGTATTTTATGTCTCAGATTCACCTTTCAGTTCACTAATTGAAATATCTGTAATTATACTGGCCTAATAACTTATGCTATATAAGTGGACTCATACAATGCAGTCTTTATTTCTGACTTCATTTAGTATAAAGTTGTAACATGTTCTAAGTAGCTTGTTCTTCTTTATTATTTACTAATACATTTTATAGAAATACTGCAATTTGTTTTTCCATTCACCAGCTAATGGACATGTGGGATATTTCTAATTTTTGGCCATTATGAAAAGGCTGCTGTAAACATTTATGTACAGAATTTTGGGTGGATTTATGTTCTATTTCTATTGAGTAAATACCTAACAGCGGAATCCTTTGAGTTTGTATTTGCTCTTTGTTTCAGACCTCTGGCAATTTCCCCTTACTTGCTGAAAAATTGACCTCTGAACAGTATTTTTTATATTTTATCGAGAAACATATTTTACCTATGTTATTCACTGTAGGAGAGTTTTCAAATCACACAAAGTACACAGAACCAGAACCAAGAGTTCAGCTTAGGGTTTTTGTTTGTTTGTTTTTTGTTTTTTTGCTTCTTGGCTAGGATTTTGCTATGTCACACAGACTACACTGAGACTGCTGGGTACAAGTGATCATCCCACCTCGGCCTCCCACGTAGCTGAGACTCGAGGACTGCACTACCACACATAGTCCCAGATTAGGGACTTTCTCAGTCCTTTTTGTCAAATCCATCAGTTTTAAATGTTCCCATACTTAATTATAAATATAATCCTTATATTTTGATAAGCTTATTTCAAAATGTTAATACATTTCTACATATTTATATGTTTTTTGTAATAAAGATTTATATTAACCCAACACATGTCAGACCTTATATAGATAACATACCCGTAAACTGTTTATATTTTGGGCCCATTTTATTTTTTGTTTCCAATGAGGCTGGCTGACCTAAAAAACACTGCAGTTTCTCCTGGAAAATCTGTGCTGGAGTCATATTTAATGGCAGATTCAGACCCCTTTTCTTGGACCTGAAATGACATCAAATTAAAGGAAATGAATCTAAATTTTTTTAAAAATGGAAGATTTTATACATCAAGAACAAAACATGAAAATTTCAGAAACATTAGAATCCATTTTTTTTTTTTTAATTTGTCTTTTTTTTGGTACCAGGGATTGAACTTGGGTCCTTGCGTTTGTGAGCCGGGTGGCAGAACCTCTGAGCTAAATTCCTGGCCCTCATTTGTCTTTATTCATCCTACATTTAAAACACAGTATCAAGGCCCTTGATGGAGGAGATTGTAATACTGACTATGCCCAAAGCAGGCTGTAAGCAGCACTGGCTGTGAAGAGTTAACCTACAATTGGCTTGTTTATAGAAGTGAGTCTGGCTGAAGCCTATGTGCTGAGGTCAAAATAACTCACACCCAGGGCTGGAGATTTAGCTCAGTGGTTTGGCCACCTGCTGTGGAGGCACAAGGACCCGAGTTCAATCCCCAGTACCAAAAAAATAACTCACACCCAAATTCTATTCCCAAAACTAAAACTTTCTTAACTAGAAGAACAATCTGCTAATTACAACCATATATTTTGTCTATTCTGTTCCTAATTCGAGAATGCTTTGTCTTTTATGAGTCTTGCTTACATTAATTTCTTTTTTTTTTTTTGGTACCGGGGATCGAACTCAGGACCTTGCGCTTGCAAGGCAAGCACCATAACCACTGAGCTAAATCCCCGGCCCTACTTACATTAATTTCTATAGAAACCACACGTCTGCACATCCTCACATGTAGTATTGCTCTTGCATGTAGCTTTCCTTTACCCCAGTTAATTACTAATAAAAATCAGTGGCTTGGACTGGCCAGCACCTTTGTTGGTTGCACCAGCATTGGTTGTCCTGGCACTTTGCTTTCTGTCTCTCTTAGTTCTGTCTTTTAGTTTGTTTTTTTCCTCAGGCCTGCATCCTATACTAGGCAGGAGACTGCAGCCTACTGCAGAGGTTTCTGGTAATGTTTCAGGGGTCCCCAGTACCTTCCTAATATCCTCCACCTCTTTCAAGGTAATGAGGACTAAACCTAGTGCTTTTCCACTAGGAAAAATCTGCAGCCCTTTTTAAAATTTTGAGACAAGGTCTCACTTAGTTGCTGGGGTTGAGCTTGAACTTGCAATCCTCCTGCCTCAGCCTTCTAGAGTGCTAGAATTTCAGACATGCTCCAGGCATATTTTCCCATTTTTATTTCCCACTGCTGCCCTATATACATAATGTTCAAACTGAACCAAAATTGTTTTTGTCAAATATTTTTGATGATGCTTAGAATATTCTCTCTCTCAACTGCTACTCAATTTGTCAAGATCCTGTCTAACCTTCAATGCCCATCTCAAATTACATCTCCTACACAATGTACTTATTTCTTGTCTTTCCTCCACTTGATGTTATCACTCTCCCCATTATACCACTGACAGTTTTCTTAACATACTATATAAATTATAATAATGTTTTGTCCTATTTTCTCTATTAAAGTATAAATGCTTTAAGCAAAGGAACTATGCCACTTAAGTGTTATCCACTAAACTACCTTACACAGAGCTTCATAGACAGCAGTTACTTAATAAATACATATATGCTGAATTACAGGAATTTAAAAATATATAAAAGACATAGTAATGCCATGATATTTAGAAAAATACTAAGTTTAATTAGCTTAAAGCTTAAATCCTATTTGGAACAAATTCTCTCATTGACTACATGGCCATGACAGCATTACTAAATAAATATTTCAACACAAATAAGTAAGACACTAAGCCATTCGGCATAGTAATTACTGTTTTAAACAGCATGTGATTATTTAAATTTGGTTAAAATTAATTTAAAAATTCAACTTCTTGGTCTCACCAACAACATTTCAAATGAATGATAGCTGCTTGTTGCCAGTGGCTACTACAGTGGACACAGGCACATACAGAACATTGCTATCACTGAAGAAAGTCTTACTGGACAATGATGAACTAAGAATTCCACATATGTAAATACCAACAATAAAAGGAATATAAAATAGTTCAGATGACACTGTTATGCTATGTTTAAAACACATACCTCACAGAATTGCAATCATGTTTGTGGAACAGTTGGAAGGCCACACCAATTGAAACAGATGTCTTCCAGTCTCCAAGTTTATGGGCTAACCACACAGCCTCTGGAATTAGGCCACCAATAAATAATAATTCAAGGGCATATTCAACTGTCCACACGTCCGAAAGATTCTGATCTCTAACAACACTAGCCACCTTAGAGTGTTGCAGAGGAATAAATCGAAGGGACTGCTCTGTGAGTAAATTAAAGAAAATGAGTATTACAATTATCTACATATATACAAATCCATGCCTCCTCACATTATATATTTATCTCTTCAATTTGTATTTTATACAGAAAACCACACAAGGAAGATATATGCAAAATGGGCTGAAATAATAAAACATATTCTAGAGCTGTTGTTTTTTTAAACACTAAAGAATATACCTCAGTGAGTCATGAAACAATGCCCTTTAAAAATGAAGCAGAACAGAAAAACAAACTGAATAACTGTATTACACAAAATAAGGTAAATATTATTGAATAAGACATCTGTGACAGATAAT